CGAATTTTGGCTATGTGGACGGCTGCATTTGAATTCATGTATTCATAGTCAGCTGTTGAAGCGACGCCAACGCCAACGCAACGCCAAAGTTCTATGTGGATGGGCCTATAGAACTTTCGCGTTGGCTTTGGCGTTGATTTGACAGAACGCACGTTAAAAGTATGCTTGCTACAATGAACGCTTGTCAGCGAATGCTTGGGCCACTAAATTAACATACTAACGACAGATGAATTAATATTTCATATCAATAATTGCATTAAAAACGATATTTCTTGACCGCACTTGATTAAAAAGGGAAAATATTTCACACAATTTTATTTATTTGCAACAGCTGACGAGCAAAGCACGCGAAAAGATGAGAGTTGGCCATCTTTTTGCTTGGTGTTGGCGTGAGCGCTGCCGAATTTTGGCTATGTGGACGGCTGCATTTGAATTCATGTATTCATAGTCAGCTGTTGAAGCGACGCCAACGCCAACGCAACGCCAAAGTTTTATGTGGACGGGCCTTGACTCCACAGTCGGCCTCACGGTGCAGCGAACAAAGGTGGCGCCGTCAGTGGTACCGCTACTTTGGTTTTGCCGATTTTGACAGTTGTGGTAACTTGTAAATAAACCTTTGTTTACAAATCAACGAAAGAGAAAGTTGAATTATAAGTGAAAAATCAGTTTAAATCGTGTTAATTTGCAATTTGTGAGTGATTTTTGAGTTGAAGACTGCGTATACAATGAATACAATGAAGTGCTGTGTGTTAAATTGCGACAACCGTCAAGATGCAAGAAGCGTAGATGCAAGTGTAGCGCTGGGACGAATCGTTGCATTTTGTGTACCTAGGGCACGGCAAAGCCGTTCCCGAAATGTTTCTCTATTATTTATTACCAGCATTTCCTCACAATGATTTGGTTTCTGCTCCACGCAGCCTCCATTAGCAAGTTAACTAATCAGTCCCGCAGAGACGCTGCTGCAGTTTTCTGCAGCAGCCTTAATTGCAAAGCAATGAAGTGCACCACAATGTTCACTGTTCTTTAATAGATTAGGTGAAAAATGCAATATTTTCGCATTTAGCAAAATTAAAACACGTTTTTCGCAGTAAAGTGAACTGCTTTGGCTGTTTCAACTCGTTCTTCTTTTCGCTCTATTCTTTGTTTACTTGTGGTACACAAATGTCAACGCCCAGGACGGCGCAATCTTGTATTCTATCATTCTTGAGTCGGCCTGAGCAAACTGGCCTCAACTTTGTTCTTCTCTATCCACATAGCGCTAAAAAAGGTTTTTTGCTAATTTTTTTTTTTATGTACAAACTGAATACACTGATTTTTATTAATTCTTTCTTTAAATTCACCGACTTCTTCTCTATTTTGCACCGCAGCTAACAATAAAGTAAAATTTTCTTTGATGTATGTGTGTATGTGCATACCCTGCAGTAAGCCCGGGGCCAGCCAACGCTAAGTCACCATGTACGTCTACAGCGACAATTGCACTAGTGCGAATATCGACAACGGTTTCTTTTTGCAGGAATACGAACTCGCCATAGACAATGACTGTAGCGTTTTTGATGTGTATACATCTTTGGTTTCGGTAGGGGTAAAATTTTCGAAGCTGTAACGCATATCCCGGCACAAAATTTGGAAGGGCTTAGCATGTGTATTTCAGCATAAAATTTTTATTTTCATTAGAAGCACCCTGTGTTTGCTTGCCAAATGGTTGCATACATTTAGACATATGCATAGTAAGAGGAAATGCGCTACAATTGATTATTACTTCCGATTATTTAAACTCCACACATGCATTTTGATATTCGTAGATGGTGTTAGGCATAGGTTTAGTAGTCTATTTTGATAAAAAAGAAAGGCGAACATTTAAAAAAATACTGAAATCATTTTAACTGGGACCGTTGATAACTGATGAACATACATGAATATATGTATGTATAATATGCATATGTATGGATGATATAATAGCTCTGATCCAATACTTTTCGTGTTAAATCCTGGAAAAAGGTCAAACAGCAAAATCACTCTCTGAAGTGAGAGTAAAAAGTGAGTAACAGCAAAACGTACGGAACAAAAAAGCATCGGGTAAAATCCTGCAACATGAACTGCATTTACATGAACCGCAGATTATATTCCGAAAAGAAAAACTAAATTTCGGAATATATACAAATAGAAATGCTCAAACTATAAGCTCAAAAACAATAACTGATGCGGTGTTTCCAAGATATTTTAACGCCCTTGAGTCACAAGTATATACAAGTATATTTTATCATTCATACCGATAATTTTATGTATTAAAAGAATTAAAAATGAAAATGAATAAAAAATTAAATCAGCAAAATGAATAAAATTAAGTGAAATTAAGGTTTAATTTCTAACCTAACCTACATTTGTATGTATGTAACTGAATCGCCTAATAATAGCTTTACATATAAAAAGATTATCCTAATTTTCGAGCTTAACTCCCTAATCTGTTATTAGAAAAAGAGATTAGCCATGCAAAATTATAATTAAAAATATCTCAGATTAAACCGATAACTTTTTGGTGTCCAACCCAGTTTTATCGATTATACTTGCGAAGAAGAAGAGTAATGTCAAATGTTAAAGTAAACTAATATTGACGCTAGTAAGGAAAATAGGTTTGTAAAGGTATTTTTAATAAAATACTCAGTTAAAATATATTGAAATGGCATAATATGTGTTGCAGAAAAAAGTGACCACGGTGGCACAGAGAAGAAGATTAACTTTTCCTCGAGTAGTGTGAATAACAAGCACAACCAATTTGACAGCTAACGAGCTTTGATTGAGATTATATTTATATGTCAACGTACTTTTATGCTTTGCCGTTCGCATATGTTTACACATCAAATTTCATGAGTACCTGGTACTCACCCTTTTTTTGTGTGTATATTGTCTACACTTTGTCAACAAGCACAACAGCTGTGCTTCGTCTTGCATTTTCTATTCCATCAGATATTTATTTGAGCGTGCACGTGCGGGCGAACAAATTTTTTACAAAATTTGCAATTAAATTGAATACAAGTTTGTGTGCTTACCTTTTGAGTCTGATTTCATAATTATGCCAATTTTACACAGCTGCCTTCCAGAAAAATGTCGAATGAGCGGGCTCAATGTTCAAAAGGAAAACTAAAATATTTTGCTACTACGAATTGTCCTGGCTGTCATGAAATTTCAAAAAAGCTTGAAGAATAGAAAGGTATGTTGCTTTAAAGACTTTTAAAATCACATATATAGTCAAAATACACTTTGTTTTGATTAGTGTTTACTGCACAATACTATTATTTATTATTTCAGATACCGTTGAAAAGCAACAGAACACTATCATCGAGATATTGGCGGAGCACAAAGTGTTGTTGGACCGTCTTCTTTCCCAAAATGTTGCAGTGGAAAACATTATGAGCATTTTTCCTATAAACTCAGATGAAAAATTTAAGGAATTTGACAATATTTTAGCTACTAATGCGGATCCTTATGTAAATGTATACTGTAGCTGGAAAATAGAATTAGCCCAAGTTGTTAAATTTAAACATTTTTTGTAAGCGACAAATGCAACTTCTTATTGCTGGCAATGCAGAGCGAAACTTACATCAAATATTTGGCCAAAATGTAATAATGAACTATAATGTTGACGGAATCAGCGGAAAGAAACGACTACGGGATTTATGCAATGTATTTTCCGTAATTATAGGCACAACATTTTTTTTACTACGGTTAATTTTTAAATCGTATTGGTTTTTAATAACAACGTATTTTCTTCTTATAACCAGATGTCATATCGACCTTCAGCAAATCATCAGACACAACTTTGAGAGCAGCTTTCCAACGCCAAAAGAAAAAAATCTCCAAGCAAACAACCCGCATTAAAACCAAAAAAAAAATAAGGAGAACCGAAATGATGAAGAAAATGAGACTGAGATATACGAGGAAATCGAATTTATTGAAGAAATTGATGAGACTTAATATATAAAAACTACAAATACTATTTTTTAGATTGTAAGGTTTAGCTAGCCTTGAAGAAATATGCTAAAAACCAAGTACCTTTTTTATTAAAAAATAACTATCTACAAGACATTTTTATCAACAATATACATATCTGTATTTCAATGAATTGTATTATCCAAAGGTATAAAAAAGTGTAGACAATAAACACGAAAAGGTGGTAGAGAATCTCTGTAGTGCGATTCAGTAACTCTTAACGATGCATTTGTCGAGTTGTTAATTAAAGATTTTTGTCGTTGTCAATAACGCGTCACTAACTCATTCCTAACGACAGTGACAAGCTGACTTTTTCCATTAATTCAAATTGATAAAAAGTGGCATCACCGCTGTTATAATTTCAGAATGGCGTCTACCAGTGGAGCAGGAGCTAAAAGGAGTCGGGCATCAGCGGAGCAGCTCAACGTGATGATCGACCTTCTCACGGAGAACGAAAGGCTTACGTCTGGAAAGTTCCAGCGTCTCCACGGAAAGCTGGAGTACCAAAAGAAGTGGGCGGAAATGGCACAAAAGCTCAACGCAATAGGAGGAGCTGTAAAGTCTGTGGAACAATGGCATTCGGTAAGTACTTATCTTGTGTTTTAAGTGTGTGTATATAGGAAGCAGTTTTCGAGAGTGCGATAAAAAAACAATTAGTATATATATATGTACATACGTGAAGTACAATTTTTTAATTAATATGTGCAAATGAAGGATCAGGTTGTTGGTTAATTCGGAAAAGTAATTTTTAGTGTTCAAATTCATTTTTAACATATTGGGTACAGTTTAGTTATTTGTGCAACGACTTTGGGTTGCTGTGCCCAAACGTGTGACCCGAATCAAACAACCTTTACACACACTTATAGACAAGAGTATACACTTTTTTTAAGCAAAAGGTTTACCATAGCTGTGCATTAATTTATTTATAATTTAGGTTTGAAATATGGTATTTTTGCAATCAGCTCCCAAGCAATAAAGTGCGGTCCATCGTCTTTCTTTTAAGGGAGGTTTGGGGGGCCACGCCAACTCCCCCTCCGCTCTCTACCCCAAAATCGTTGTACAAATAACTTAACATTTCCCCCGGGACTTTTGTTTAATTTTGTTTGAGCTTCCTGTGCACATTTATTTATACTTTTATTTTCTTGGCCATTCATAAATATGCTGTAAGGCTTTATATACTACATATTTGTTAACTATGTATATCATTACTTTGCAAACAGGTCTGGCGCGACTTAAAAAGCCGTACAAGCGTACGTGTACGTGACCGGAAGAGGAAGCAGGCTCTAACAGGCAACAGGCCCATCGAGCAGCAACCTTTAACGGAGATGGAGAGGCGGGTAATTGATCTGATTGGGATCAACTACATCGAGGGTCACGAAGTTGAAAGTGTCTATTAAAAATCGTAGAATTTTCCTTAATTTTGTTAATTAATTTTAATTTTAATTAATTTTTAATCAGATTTTATAAAATAACTTCAAGTACGCAGTTTTATAGCGCATTAAATTAAAAATCAACGCGATTTCCTAGCAACCTCATTTTTACACATTGTTATACTAAAATTTAACTGTTGATTAGAAATCGTTGAATTTTCCTTAATTTTGTATAAAACTTGAAACCTTGCTTTGTATGATTTTGTTTTAAGGATGATCCATATTTTTATAAAAAAAATAACAAACGAATTTTAGCTTCCAAAATATTGCGAACATTTAAAAAATCAATGGTGTATACAGACTTTTGCTGTTAAGTGTACATATCATACAAGAGTTAATTTTATGGTTTTTCTTTTAATTTTCAAAATAAATTACTTATTTTTTTCTTTTATGTTTTAAATTAATTATTTTGTACCTTGTTTTGTACCTGACTGGAATATGTACCTTTAGTTTAAAAAATATATATTTTATGAAATAAATTGGAAATGTTTTTGTTATGAATATGACATAGCTGTTATGAAAATTAAATTTATTTACCTTAATTACACATTCGCCTGCCCCTACCTGGCTACGCCCATGCCCTCGACAAAAAAAAATATCAAATATTAACGGTATTTTATAGGGACATCAAACTTGGATTTTACCCTACTGACATTGAATGGGCTACAAAACTGCATACTTGGAAATTTTCTAAAGATTCTGAATAAAGTGTTTGAAATTTTAGTGAACGTTTTTTTAAGTTTAATAAAGTTTTGTGAGGTTTTTGTTATAGAATGAGGTATATTTTGAATACAAATTTGCGAAAATAGTTCAATATTGAAAATATTTAGAATATTATGAAAAACGATATTACGAAAACTTCTGTGAGTGATTGTATGTAAAATTAAAAGAAAAAACTTTAAGTATTTAGAAGACAAAACTAGTCCGAAGATAAAAATGTAAATTTAAAATAAAATGGGTATTCATCTAAAAGCATAAATGCCTCGTAACTTGTAAATAAACTGGTTTACGATACAAAATTAATTAAGTTTACGTGGTTACGAGGCATTTATAATTTTAGATGAAATGCTAAAAAAAAAACAAAAGTATTTAGGAGAAAAAATTAGTAATTAATCGGTCTTGGACACGTTTTCCCATGGAAGATACCGAATTTGAAGTATAGTCGGTACCGTCTGCATGTGCATGTGTTTCTGCTTCTAATATTATATTATTATCGAGTTCATTTATTTGCTCGCGCAAACGGATATTATGCAAGGTTGAGCACGCATTTACAACCTTACCAGCAAAACCAGGGTCGTATAGTAACACTCGTTGTTGTGATAAACATCGCCAAGTTCATTTAGGCACTCCAAATAGTCTATCTACTGAATTTCGAGCTTTGCATAGCGCCTCGTTGTACCGAAACTTAGGAGTATCCTCAGGTTGGTTCGGTAAAGGCGTCATGAGCCATGGCTCTAAGGGGTGTCCTGAATCGCCTGAAAGGAATTTTTTTAATTATGTACATTTTAAAGTAAATTAAAAAGAATACCAATCAAAAGCATGCTGCGGTTTCCATTGTCAAAAGCTCTCTGCATGACTCGCCGAACTGGACAGGACTCCAAATGTAAGAGTCATGTCGTGCTCCCGGAAACCTAGCATTGACGTTCAGTATTTTTAAATTTGGTCACATATCTATAAAAGTATAACAAATATTTATCGCTCGACTTTTATTTAAAATACTTAGCTCAGCATTTGAACATTTATAGAGTGATAGCCATGATGGTTCACGTATGCTTCCTCATGAGTTTTAGGACCCAAANGGGTCACATATCTATAAAAGCATAACAAATATTTATCGCTCGACTTTTATTTAAAATACTTAGCTCACCATTTGAACATTTATCGAGTGATAGCCATGATGGTTCACGTATGCTTCCTCATGAGTTTTAGGACCCAAAATAGAAACATGCGTGCAGTCTACCGCTCCAATAGTTCCTCCAACAAAAGGCGCAGGCGCTGAAGCAAACACTTCCTTGGCAGCTTGACGGTCCACCTGCGTCATAGGGAACTTAACCTCTCAAAAAATAGTCCACTGTTTATGCCATCAGTTACGCGATGTATACGACGGCTTATAGATGATTGGCTCATTGATATGCCCCACTGTGCCCCTACAGGCCGTTGGTAGCATCCTGTGGCGTAGAAGCGTAGTGTACACAAAACCTTCAAAGATAAACGATTATTTGGGAAATGTTTAGTTATTTGTGCGGAGCGGAGGGGGAGAGGGTGTGACATCTAAGACCACACCCGTTAGAAAGAGTACAGTCAAAACTTTAAGGAATGTCATCCCTCCCCTCTCTGACCCGTCTACAGACTACCGGGGGCCCATTTTAAAATGGGTTCACCCCATTAGCATTTCAACATGCCACATCGAAACTTACAAAAAAGTCCATAATTAATAAACTTGTGCGTGGAAATTTGAAATCTTTGTTTTAAATTAAAGTTTAATCCTTGGAATACACGCGGATGTTAAACTTTTTAGATTCGAGTCACGCGTTTGAGCATCATTGTACAAATAACTAAACCGTACCCGAGAAATTATTGTATACAAAATTGCATGCTCTAATTATTTAAAGATTTACCTGTTTGTCCGCCGATATTGAGGTAATACTTTTTCCTTTCAATTGGATTTCCAGCCGCTGGATGAGCTCCATTGCAGTCTCTGGGCCCACACGATATAGCTTCCGGAACTCGGAAGGCGCCAGCTCAAATGGATCGTGATTGGCCCGGAGCAAACGCCGATCCACTGTGGGGGTATTTCTGACTCCATAGTTTCGGTGTAAACTAAACGCCACATATTCAAACGCCATTTCTTTTATATAAATTCACTTTGGATTTACTTGCGCGCAAATTCGTTTGGTTAACGCAAACTTAACAACACCAAATGAGATGTCGATAACTTAACCATAAACGAATCGTTAACGAAACAGCTGATTTTGACTTAGCGAATATCGATAAGAAAGTACTTATTGAATAGAAAAATCTTTATAATTATCTTTTAGCTAAATTAGCCACTGCGAATGTCGTTAAAAAAGTTACCGAATCGCACTACTGGTGCCAATGTCTCCATATAGCCCCAAAAGGAGTACTTAGCCAATACCTCTGGAGATTTGCGATGACAAGCACATGTGAGATGTCTATAGCAAATAACATTGTGTGGCTCATATCTCAGAATATCCAGTAAAAAAACTGTGGTGATGTCCTTTATGGGGATAAAGTTTCCAGAGGTGAAATTTTAGGTAGCACACAATTTCTTACACGCATGGTTGCTTTTCAGCACTCATGAAAGAAACTTAAGAAATATTTGAAAAAAAAGTTCATATAGTACATTAATTTTTGAAAGAAATACCATATTATGTATGTACTCTGGTTAGTAATATCAAAAAATGTATTAGAACCACCGTTTAATGTTATATTTGATACAAATTAATATTGCTGCCCCGAACGCTCTGCGCCTTGCCACTGAATAATAGGTTTACTTNCATGATTCAATAATACAAGGTTCGATAAACTGACAGTTGTCTCTCTCGCACCGCTCCCTTAGCAGTGGCACCGTGTTGCTTCTTTGCAAATTTACATGGAAACAGTGTAGCTTTGGTGTGAAATAAAAGTATAAGCTTTTGTGCAATATGTTTATTTGTATATGCATATGAAGCATATTTAACTGATGAAAACATAAGCATTGGATGTTTGCATCAATCTCATAGTAGTCTTATTTTAATTTTGAGTCATTTTGCAGTTTTTATACGGCTAAATAGCATATAAATTACGTAATTCACGTAGATATATCAATATTACGTTCAACATTTGGTTTAAAATGCCAGATTTCCTGCAAATACATTAGAGTTTACGAAAGGAACTTCACTACTAATTGCCTACATTGCGTACTTTTCTACTACCATTTTCGAAACAAGGGATTGCATTCTTGCCCTTTCTCTGTCCTTCGTAAATGTAACCTTTTGTAAGGGAGTGTCAAACCGCAGCTGTCAATAATAATCTAACCTTGTATTATTGAATCATGTGTCTTCGCCACATTAAAACGGTGTGTTCAACAAATTGAGCAAGGCAACCATTAATATGCTACGTATGCCGAACCCTATATGGGGTTATCGAAATCTTAAATCAGTTCGCGAATTGATGTACAAACGTGGAATGGCATGTCCCAATCTCTGCTTTGTGATCGAACGGAAATTTCGCGAAGCGCACGAAATTCAGTGCGTTGATTCACTTCACTTCAAGAAAGCCCCCAACTTCCTGTTGCTATTCAAGTTCAACACATCAACCCGAGGCTGGCGCAAGAAGGCTAATCACTACGTTGAGGTTGGTGATTTCGGTAGCCGGGAGGATAAGATCAACAAATTGCTGCACAAGATGGCTTAAAGAAATTGTTGTTTTGTATTTAAGGCGACAATATAATTTTGCACATCTTGAAAAGCGTCGCCTGGATAAAAGATTGTCACAAGTTACTTTCGGTAGCTCACAATTGAAGTTTGGAATGCAATTTCTCAGGAACTAGACTACAGATTTTCTCCAAAGTGTCGGAGAATGCCATGTACTAGTTCATGAAATTCTTAAATTGTTTTATTTTTTTAGTTTAGTGTCAACCATTTATGAGTTTAATAAAATTTTGTCGGATACGATATTTGTCAAAAAATTTGCAGTCAGTTTCAATAATATACGCCAAAATGTGATAACAATTTTTATAAATTAACGATACTTTTTACTAATCAGCCTAATCGTGAGTTTCGCCCGAACCAAATTTCGCCAACAGTTTTTTCATCCACCTGTAGTGAATACACGCAAACGAAAAGTAAAAAGTGACCCGGTTCTAGAAAATGAAACTCATGATAAAGCTGAATATGTCGGAAACTA